TAAGTGTTAAATTACAGCGCAGGAACTATTGCTGTTGTTAGCGATCTGCAAGTTTAGCGCAAAAACGCATGATTGCGCCGGCTAGTCAGATGTGCCACAACCTGGGTCGCCTCTACTTGGTATTTTTTCACGCTTTCTCAATTCATATCATAATTTCTCCTTATGCATCCGTTCTCCTTGTATTTTTATGCTTTTCAGTAAGGTGTATTATGGCCCCATCAATGCTTTACTGTGTACAAGCTTCGCTGTTTTACAAAGTTGCACTGTATTATGGCAAAAAAGCGGTACTTTTTCGGTAAGCATATTTCTTTCTTGTTCCATCTCTTCATTCCACAAACCCATATCGTTTTCAGTTTGCATCGCACAAGTTATAACAGTTAGGGGGCATGTCTTCAAATCCCGATCCGGAATCAGTTCACCCAAATCTGGAACACAAGATCAGCAGAGATGAAGCTACAACATGTGGCGGGTAAAATACTCTATGTTTCATCCCTTAGCTGTAAACACAGAAAGAGTGAAGGTGCGAATAAAAGTGGAAATCAGCGGTACTACTTCGCATCTATGCAGCTCCATTTTATACTTCACTGCGAATAGATTTGAACAAGACGTGACAGCACTGTAGTGCAATTTATAATAACAGCACAAAATTACAGAGCAAAAGCAAGTTTTTTTTAAAAAATGTCTTATAAGTTTCTAAAATATATTTTTTAACAAACCTAATCTTAGCCGTCGAGGACAATGAAAAGCCTTTATTTCAATACCTCGACCTTTTCCTTCAAAACTGCTCCATTCCTAAAAATTAAAGTCTGAAAAAAAAGCGACGTGAGACAATGATGATGCTAGATAACGGTAAAAAATTTCCTATACTAACATACATCTGGTTTATCTATACCAAAAATAGTAAGCCAGTTTGGACAATAGATTTGGAATCCCATATTACTAAGATTACTGGGATGCTACTTTAGGCGTCCAAATCAACCATACAAGGCCTTTTTAGTCTGAGCTGTACTGAATTACCTTCACATTTTATAAATTCAAACTGAAATTTCATAAAAATAAAATACAATTTGGGGCAAAATTACACAGCGCCGATTTTTTTCTCTGTAAAAAAAATCCAAAATTTTCGGATACC